GATGACAATCGGTATTGGCCATATTTTAAAGGTTGCATAGGGGCAATTGACGGAACACATGTCCCAGTTGTGGTACCTAGAGAAATGCAAGTGCCATATATAGGTAGAAAAGGAAATACAACTCAAAATGTTATGGCTGTATGTGATTTTAATATGTGTTTCACATTTGTCTGGGCTGGATGGGAGGGTGCTGCTCATGATTCACGTATATTCATGGAGGCCTTGAGAAGACCAGAATTGAAATTTCCTTATCCCCCTTCTGGTTAGTAATCAACCTTAGTCTTATATGAATGTGTTTATTTATTTATTATCTTATGAACACACAAAAATCTTTATATTTTTCTTTTCAATTATGGTGTAGGCAAATATTATTTAGTTGATGCTGGATATCCACATATGAATGGATATATTGGACCTTATAGGGGTGAACGATATCATCTTCCTGAATTTCGACGTGGAAGTCATCCAAGAGGGAAAAAAGAGATATTTAATCAGAGACATTCATCCCTAAGATGCACAATAGAAAGAACTTTTGGTGTTTGGAAAAATAGATGGACAATGATTCGTCTCATGCGTAACTTCCCTTTTGAAAAACAGGTACAAATTGTTGTTGCTTCAATGGCCTTACACAATTTTATTAGGAAGCATTCCATGACAGATCAAGAGTTCCAACCTTATGATGATGATGATGAGCTACTTCCACCTGGACATGAGGAAGATCATAGAGATGAAGAAATTGTTGATGAAAATTTTACTCATAGGCGAGAGATGGATGTTGAACGAGAAAGGATTGCTAATCTTCTTATATCTAGTTAATGCTTATTTCACATTTGATTGTCATGCAACTATAACGTGTCATTTTGTTTTCAAGAAACAAACACATATTCTCAATAAGTATGTATAATTTTGTTAGTGATCATTATTTTTTGTAATTGAATTTTCATCAACTCTTAATCAAATTGTATGCTAATTATATACAAAAAATACTTATGCAAAAATTATTGAGAATTATTAATGAAAGCGCTTTTTCATTTGACAACCAAACACTCTATTTAATATCAAAAACGCTTCTATCCAATACAAAAACGCTTAGTTGGTTGCATGCCAAACAACAAACTACTTCCTCATAGAAGCGCTATTGAAAAGTGCTACAAACAAAAAGCGCTAGTGAGTAAAAGCGCTTTATAGAGTAGCACATCCAAACGAGCCCATAAACGGTATGGCATATATATATGACGTGAGCTTTATATGGTTGGTGATCATTGATTAATTGCGCGGTATCATACATATTGAGCAAAATAGAGCAAGGAGTGTATCAGTAGGTTGGTTGGATACCAATATGGCATTTCAACACCCTTGTTGACTAGAAATTTTTAGTTATGACAGGAACACGGATGGTACACCACGTCTTTTTATGTAAGTGGTGGAAAATTTTAATTTTATAGTTCTTAACCTTTTAACACATATATCCCACTATTTATATGAAGACACGTGGTTTACCACCTCTTATGACGGTCACACTGAAAAATTTCTCCTTATTGACAATGCTAATGCTTTCTTTCCTTTTCTTTTTTAAATGTTATTATTAAGGAGGGGTGGAAGGATACAAACTGTAATTTAGGAGATGAGAGCTTCGAAACGGGACGTATGGATGAAAACTCAACACTCTATCAAGTAGGATATTGAACTACATGCAAAATTGATGATGCTAATGTATTAATTCGCATTTTGAGAAAAAAAAATACTTTTTGGTGTGTCGGGAATACTCAATTGTACACCACATGTCATTATACAGTTGGAGGAAGAAAAAAAATTTTAAGTGTCTCTTCAATTGTGTAATAACATGTGGCGTGCCTCTAGGAGAAGAGATGGATATAAAGCTCAAAGATGCACTCCATCTAACTTACATAAATAAAACTAGCATATGGGCACACACAAAGTGTGTGAGAAAAAAATTTATTTTTGTTTTGAAATAGAAGGAGAGAGGAAGAGAGTGATAGAGAATGTGGAAGTGGGAAGTTTTTATTTTATTTTATTTTATTTTAATTAGAGATATGTTAGGATTACATGTAGGTGAGGCTTTGAAAAAAAACAGCAAAATTTGGTTGTGTGAAATTACATTTCTGCCCCATATTTCTTATTCATGTTCTGTTTTAATTAGAGAATTAAACTGGTAATTTCATAGGATTTTGGTTGACAATGAGTATTTAATTCATTTGTAGAGATATGATTATCACTTTTACATTTTATTTAGGATAAATTACATTTTACCCCCTCAGGTTTAGGGTCAATTTCAATTTCTTACAACATCTTTAAAAAAATTCAATTTCATACATTTACTTATCATTTTATTTCAATTTCATACATCCGTTAGAAAATCCGTTAAGTAAACTGTTAAATGATAACACGATAAATATGGGATCCACATTTATGCTGACGTGACTGCCAAATTTGTGTCACGTGGCAAAAAAAAATAATTTTTTATGTATTTAAAATATTATAATAATTTACCCTATTTAAAAATAAAAATAAAAATAAAACCCATCTTCCTTTCCTGACCCCTTACCCTTCCCTGCAACCCAAACCCCCCATCCCACCCCACAACAATTTTCTCCTTTCAACCTTAACCAAACATACTTCTTCTTCTCCCACGTCAAAGACACAAACATACATCTTCACCCACCATCACCAGAAACCATCCTCTTCCACCACCATTAGCCCCCGTCCTTCACCCCTTGTCCGTCGAACCCAACCTCAGTCCCTCATCCGTTTAATCCAGTCCAATCCCTCCTCCGACCTCTCTCCTTCATCTGATTCGCCGTCAACGCCACACCCATCCCCATTCACAGTAGATCTGACCATCGTCAATCCGACGTAATCATCCCCACCGATCTGGCTCTGCTCTCGACCTCTCGATTTCCTGCTCCAAGTCTCGTGAGTTTGTCTAAGGAAGGTGACGAGGGTGGGATTTTCTGATGGCAAAGGCAATGGAAGGAAGAAGATGGATGTTTGAATATGGATTTAAAATGAGTCGGCTACTATTTGGGTAGAAAGATAATATGATTTTAGGTAGACCTGGCATTCGTGTCGTGTTTTCCGTGTTCGAGTCATTTTCGTGTCATACTTGATATCTTAACGGGTCGTATCGTATAAGACCCGTTAAAATAAACGGGTAAAATGACATGACCCAAAATCGACCCGATAATATTAACAGGTAATATGACTCGACCCGTTACCTGTTAAGGAAATATATTTTAAACCAATGAATAATCAAATGAAAAACATAATACTAAATAAGTATATACATACCACATTGTCACATCCAAAACGTAAAAACACATTTTTCTTTTAAGTATATTTTCACTTACGTAAAGTCTTTAATAGTTTTTTAATTAATGTAGAAGTGTAAAAAAATATAGAAAAATATATAAAAGCTCGTAATGACAAGCTTTACAACTTTCATGAAGAGCTTAACTTCGAAATTCGCCACTATAATCATATAAATCATAGATCAAAATTTAACCGTTGATTCTTGTTTACATTCACGCTTCATTGTTCTCATCAAATTTTGTTTTTTCAAATTTTCTTTTTGGAAAACTTGATCTATTAGAGGATGGAGGAAGATGAACGGTTTGTATCGTTGATATTATATTCAGAGTTTTACAGTTAGTTGAAATATTGCTTGATGTTTATAAAGTTTCTACAAACTATATGACATCGACTCATATTTCAGTTAACCGTAAATATCAAAACGTGATACCAAAGATCTGAGCCGTTCTTCTTCTTACATCTGCCAGATGATCATGTTTTCAAAAAAGAAAATTTTAAAAATGAAATTCAGTAAGAAGAATAAAGCGTAAATGGCAATCGACGGTTAAATATAAATTGTATGTCTTCTTAGTTCTTGCCTATACAAATACTATATTAGTTTATTTTAATTTTGGACAACAACATGTTAAGTAAAATTTATCCTAGTAATGATAATAAGGAACTCTCATAATAAAAATAAATAATGACTAAAACTTTTTTTTAAACTTATATAGAATAATAATACAAAACTATATATTTAATATAGAATATATTGTATATATTAATATGGCTATTGTATTTTATAATAAATCTTTTAATAATTAAACTTTAAAATTATCAAAATAAATTTTTTCTTAACAGGTTGAAACGGGTTACCCACGTGTATACCCGTTAAGAACTCACCCGATAATGACCTGATAAGTTATCGTGTTGACCCGAAACCCGTTATTTTCGTGTCGTGTCACCGTGTCGTGTCAGAAACTGCCGGGTCTAATTTTGGGGAAGGAAGATGGGTTTCTTTTTTCTTTTTCTTTTTTTTTATTTCTTTTTTTAATAGGGTAAATTATTATAATATTTTAAATACATAAAAAAATTATTATTTTTACCATGTGGCACAAATTTGGCAGCCACGTCAGCATAAATGTGGATCCCATATTTGCCATGTCATCATTTAACTGTTTACTTAAAGGATTTTCTAACGGATGTATGAAATTGAAATAAAATGATAAGTAAAGGTATGAAATTGAAATTTTTTAAAGATGTAAAAAATTGAAATCAACTTTAAACTTGAGGAGGTAAAATGTAGTTTATCCTTTTATTTTCTTTTTCCTTTTCTATTAGCCATATTAGAATATATAAGATCAAATTGTTAAATACTTGAATTCTAAAATACGAATAATTAGCAGCAAGAGTATCCTTGTGGTCCAATTAGAGAGTCCAGGTTACGCGAGATTTCTAGCAGACGAAGCGATTATTTTAGGGTTTAACTTGACTCGTATATATATAACAATTGGTGAGTTTATGGCATAGGAGACCTAGAGATAGCAATGGCGTCTTTCATAGCCCTCCGCCGCACTTCAAGCATGAAACTGTCTCCCTTCTTCAACATGCGACCTCTGGCCCCTTCTCTTTTCCCCTCTATTCGTAGCAGACGCATACAAACTCTATCCACCATTACGGTTCCAGAAACAATGAAGATTGAAAAGTCAATAAGAAACCAAACCGACGTCGGACTTAGGATGATGAAGCCGCTGTTTCTCAATGAAGGCGAAAATAGTAATATAGTATACTCACCGCTGTCCATCCACGTTGTATTGAGCCTGATAGCAGCCGGTACAAAGGGTCAAACCGAGGAAGAGTTGCTTTCTTTCCTCAAGTCCCAGTCCACCGCCCACCTTAACTTGCTTGCCTCTGAAATCGTCCCTCTGGTTTTTGCTGACGGATCACCCATTGGCGGGCCAATTTTGTCCTTTGCCAATGGACTCTGGGTTGACAAGTCGACCCCTCTCAAGCCTTCTTTCAAAGAGGTGGTGTACAGTTTTTACAAGGCAGCTCAAAAGGAAGTCGATTTCCAGACCAAGGCCGAACAAGTGAGAATTGAATTAAATTCATGGGCCGAAAAGGAGACTAAGGGCCTTATTAAAGAGATTCTTCCTTTTCAGTCAGTTAACAGCTTAACAAGGCTCATCTTTGCGAATGCATTGTACTTCAAAGGAGTTTGGGATGACAAGTTTGATGCATCAGAAACTAAAGAGTATGACTTCCACTGTATCAATGGCAAGTCGTCAGTTAAGGTGCCCTTCATGACCAGCTATAAGAATCAATATTTAAAAGCCTTTGACAGCTTCAAAGTCTTAAAGCTCAATTATGAAAAAGGTGAAAACGAGGAGCGGCATTTCTCCATGTGCGTTTTTCTTCCAGATGAAAAAGATGGGCTGCCAACTTTGGTTGATAGAGTTAGTTCTAAGCCTGGTTTCTTAGATCGTCATCTTCCACGCCGGAAAGTTAAAGTGGGTGACTTTAGAATTCCAAAGTTTAATATCGCTTTTGGTTTTGAAGCTTCCACAATTCTCAAGGATTTAGGACTAGTACTGCCTTTCCATGTTGATCCATATAAAGGAGGTAATTTGACAGAGATGGTGAACTCACCTCCGGGTGAGACTCCTTCTATTTCTGGTATACTCCATAAATCATTCATTGAAGTTAATGAAGAAGGAACGGAAGCTGCCGCTGTTACTGCCACTGGGATAATAGTTGAGGCACTCTATCCTTATCATCCTCCAAAGACGATAGACTTTGTGGCAGATCACCCGTTCTTGTTTTTCCTCAGAGAGGAAACGACTGGAGCAGTGCTGTTCATTGGGCAGGTGCTCAATCCGCTCGAAGGCTGATTGTTACCGGAGTGGTTAGTTTAAATCATGTCCGTTCAATTAAGTTCACTGGCTGAAATAGTTGGGGCAAACTTCTAGATTGATATATAATTTGGTCGTAGTTTAATTCCTTAACATGCATAGTTAGCATGCATAAAGTGACCTAGTTTCTCAGGTATGAAACTAATTCAATCCTAAATTTTATTTTTTTGAGTTTGTAAACTCTCTGCATTCGTATCAAACTATGTATAATTCCTACCAAAATGTTTTGAACTTCTTACAAGAAGTGGCCTCCACAATGTTATCACAAAGATAGACGAAGTAGAAGCCCCAAAATTCCTTGATGACGGTTAAAGCACTCACGTCTCAAGAGTATAAATGGAACACAACTGTAATTTCCTAACAGCAGAAACCAAAGTAAATGATGTATTCCTCTGTGATTTGGCTGCAACAACAGGCCAAAAAATTTATCGTTGTCCTTCGCCGGTCACCTCTTCTCCGGCCTCTCTCTGTCTCTTTCTAACACCCGAAGTCGCCCAACAGCCAACTCACCAACCCCGTCTCCCGAATAAAATGCAAAAGTACGTAATAATCCTTAATTCAACAATGAAAATCCCCAACTTCTAAGGATTGTATGTCCACTTGCACCAAAGAATTCTTTATGCAAGGTTTGTATTCTTTACTTGCTAAGGTTCGTGAAGAGGATTTTAGAACTAGATGCTTACAAACTTTTTGGAAGAAAATTAGAGTCGCCGAAGAAAATGAAAGAGGAAGTTCAAGTGAGTGAGTGGTTTCTTTATAAAATTGCAGGGTGTTAATGGAATTACGATTTAATTTGTTGTGGTCTATTTTAACTGATAGGCAAGGAGAGAGATAGAGAGAGAGAGATGTGTTTTAGGGAGTAGAGGAATGTATGGTGCCTTTATTTATAGTAATAAGGGAGAGAACAAATCCTTCTACTCCAAGGAATACAAAACCATATAGGAAAGGATAACTAGAATCAAATCTAATCTAGGATTTACACAATCATACTTAAACTAGAAATATACAACACTCCCCCTTGAGTGTGTAAATACTGAAGGTAGATTCGACATCATGCAGAAGTTTAGGGAGTCGACTCGTCGGCGCTGATTCTGGGAACACACTGTTCTCAAATAAGGTAGGAACTTTCATAAGGAAGTAAGTCTCACAAAAAAAAAAAACCCTAAGGCTATGGCAAAAACCCGAGGAGGGACAAAATCCATAGTCAAAGGAAAAATGCATGAGCAATGCAATGTCAAAGGAAACGTCTACGGGACGTCATCAGAGATATGATCAACCCAAGATGGGTACCTTGTTAGAACCTAGTTAGGTAGAGAAAACCCAGTGGGAAAAATGCTCCTAATCGTAGGGAAAACGAGTACATTAAGATCAAGCAAGTATACTTTAGGATACTCCCCCTGAGTTTGACACAATTCTAAAGAGAACTAGTAATGTTACAACTCAAAAAGTTTAAGCATACCAATTCCTAGAACAAGCTTTTGAAACGCAGTGATTTGGTGAAGAGGTCGGCCATATTGTCTTGTGAATGGATTTGCATGACTTCAATCTTCTGATGCTTTTATTGTTGATGTGAGAAGGAGAACTTCGGCACAATGTGCTTGGTGTTGTCTCCTTTGATGTAACCCTTCTTGAGTTGTTTGATGCATGTTGGGTTGTCTTCATAGATCGTCATTGGGACATCAACAACGGGGTAAAGATCGCATGAGCTTCGAATATGGCCCACAATTGATCTTAACCCAAAACATTCCCAATTTGCTTCATATAAGGTGAGAATTTTAGCGTGGTTAGATGAAGTGGCAACTACAGTCTGTTTAGTTGACCTCCAAAAGATTGTCGTGCCTAACCTCCAAGAGATTGCGGTGCCTCCAATGGTAAAGACATAACCCGTTTAAGAACGCGCCTTATGCAGGTCAGATAAGTATCTTGCGTCGGCATAACCAACAAGGCGAGAATCGACTTAAGAATAGAGGGTGCAGCATTACTCGAGTATCTATAAGGATAAAACAAGCTCAAATCTGTAATACCCTTAAGGTAATGGAAAATGTATGTGTGTTGGTGCATTACTATATCTTGCTAAAAGATTAATAGCGAAGGAGATGTCGGGTCTAGTGCATTGAACTAAGTACAATAAAGCGCACATTGCATTTAGATAATGAACTTCAGGCTCCAAAATCTCTTCATCATCCTCTTTCAGAAAAAAGGGATCTCGTTTTGCATTTAGTGATTGAACGACCATAGGAGTACTTGAAGGTTTCGCTTTATCTTGGTTAAAGCAATGCAACACCTTTTGGGTGCAGTTCGATTGATGTACTAAGATATCATCCAAATGATGCTCTATCTCAAGACTAAGACAGTATCAAGTCTTTCCTAGATCTTTCATCTCAAATTCCGACTTCAGGTGCGCGACAGTTCTCGCAAGCTCTTTCAGGAGTTCCGATGAGATTCACGTCATCAACATATACTGCAACAATCACAAAACTGAAATGTGACTTCTTAATGAACACACAAGGGCATTGATCGTTGTTCACATATCTTTGACTAGTCAAATACTCACTCAGACGGTTATACCACATTCTTCTGAATTGGTTCAAACAGTAGAGTGAACGCCTCAGCCGAATTGAAAGAATGTTTTAGGGTTTGGAAATATTTGATCTAGACAATGCAAGTCTTTCGGGAACTTTCATGTAAATTTTCGTATCAAGATCCCCATAGAGATATGCAATTACTACGTCCATCAGCTGCATACTCAGTTTTTTGGAAACTACCAAACTAATAAGGTAGCAAAAAGTAATCACATCCATAACGAGTGAATAAGTTTCGTCATAGTCAATCCCGGTGTGTTGTGAGAAGCCTTGTGCAACAAGACGAGACTTGTAATGCACAATTTTGTTCTTCTCATTACGCTTCCAAACGAAAACCCACTTGTAGCCAACGGGCTTCACATGTGGAGGAGTTTGAGCTACAGGTCCAAACACCATACGTTTTGCAAGTGAATCGAGTTTGACTTGAATTGCCTGTTTCCAGTTTAACCAATCGGTTCTACGTCGACAACCAGAACGGGGTTTAATGTCATCGCGCAACATGATATTAGTAGCTACTGCACATGTTAATGCATCGTCGACGATCATCTCATTTCTGCACCACACATCATTTAAGCTAGCATAATATATCGAAATCTCATGATTCTAAGAGGGTGGATTCGTCTCATCAAGGACACTTCCATAATCTAGAATTTCCTCATAAGTTGGATAAAATGAGTAAGCAACTGTCAGATTCACCGTAGGCTCTTCAGGGGCTTGTGTTGTGGGTTTTCTCTTTCGGGGGTGTGAATCCTTTGAACCAAATGGTATGTCACGCTTATGTGTAAGGGCAAATGATTGGCTAGCCAATAATGTACGTGGATTGGCCAAATTGGCGTCCCGGGCCTCCAAAATGGAAGTTCGTCCTACATTTGGTACATCCATCTTTGCAAACACATTTGTAGATAGAATATGTGATTTTATCACTTACGCTAGATCGGTAAAAACATCTGGCATGCTCTGAGCTATGCTCTGAAGATCTAATATACGCTGCACTTCAGTTTCAGACTGACCAGTGCAGGGATCTAAATGAGACAAAGTGGGAGTTGTCCACGATAATTCGCGTCATTCTTCTTGAATGTTGACGTTCTTATCTCCCCCTAACGACGGGAAGATTGTCTCATAAAAGTGACAATCCACGAAACGAACGGTAAACAGATCACCTATCAAAGGTTCTAAGTAACAAATAATCGAAGAAGAGTCATATTCGACATAGATTCCCATCATTAGCTGATGCCCCATTTTTGTACGTAAGGGCAACGAAATTTGCACATAGACCGCACAACAAAAAACACGCAGATGCGATATGTCAAGTTCTCATTCGATAGCCAACTGAAATACGCTATATGGTTGGGTCACAATAAGTCTCAGACGGATCAACATGGCTGCGTGCAATATTACATGACCCCAAGCAACGATCGAGAGCTTGGTGCGTATAAACAACGATTGAGCAATCATTTATAAGCGCTTAATGAATGCCTCTGCCAGGCCATTCTGGGTGTGAACATGGGGTGCATGATGTTCAACTTCAACCTCAATGACATGCAATAGTCATCAAAAGTTTTATATATGAATTCTCCAGCATTATCCAATTGAATAGATTTAATCAGATAATCAGGGTGGTGAGCCCTGAGCTTGATAACCTAAGCCAACAGTTTGGAGAATGCGGTGTTCCTTATGGACAACAAGTACACGTGTAACTAACGTGTGGAGGCATCAACCAAAACCCATAAAATATCTAAATGGTCCGTATAAAGGGTGAATCGGTCCACAAATGTCTCCCTAAATCATTTATAAAAAAAAATTGGGAGGATTCAAATGAATCTTGTCATAAAAAGGCTTAATGATGAGCTTTCCCATAGAGCAAGTTGGACATGCAATTCCTTGAATCGAACTTAAACTTCAGGTTAGTGGATGCCCGTGTGATGATTTGAGAATACAGCGCATCGTTATTTGTCCAGGATGTCCTAAACGATCATGTCAAAGTGTAATTTCATGTGCGGTCTCAGAGGTAGGGTCGGCCATATAGTGGCTCTCTATGGGGCGTATGGTCGTAGCATACAGAAATTCAACTTCGTTTTCTATATAGGTTTCAGTGTGGTAATTATTATTTCTAATGTCCTTGAAACTCAACAATGTTATTCCGGAACGTGGAGAATAGTGTGCCTCATCAATGATCTGGAATGTACCATTAGACAACATTATATGTGCCTTACCGTATCCTTTGATCAGGTTGGATGGGCCTGAGAAGGTTGTCAGAGATGCATTCTTAGGTATGAAGTTAGTGAAATAGATATGTTTACTCAAAACTGTGTGCGTAGTTGCATTATCTGTCAGACAACTAACTTCTCCACTAGTCATACCTAGAATGAAAAATTAATTTGAATCGGTCACATGCATAAAAGTCCTTAAAAACAAGTATCAATTCAAAATAATTTTAACTATTCAAGGATGGTAATTAATTAAAATTTTAATATCCAAAAACAAATCACCAACAAATAATCCAAATATAAAGGAAAATTGTTCAAAATTTAACCAAAAACAAAAGGGGGCCACTATGTGGGATTCGGCCTCAGTGTCTAAAATTGAACTAGAAAAATAGTTTATGTCTAAGATTCTAATCTTCCATAGGGGTAACGGCCTCTTGAAAGTCAGAAACCTTCATCTTTGTACTCTCTGGTTCGTCCACTTGCATAAAGTTTGATTTAAACTTCTTACGACGAGAATGATATTTGGCTATAATTTTCTGGGGAGCTCAGCAAACACAGGACCAATAGTCCTTTGAACCACAGCGATAACACATGTCTGCATCCATGGTTTTAGGTACTTTGCCGTTATTCTTGAAGTTGAGGCCTTTGAAGCGAGGTTTGGGTGCTTCTGGGCTCTGTTTCCTCCCTTAGATGGGCCTTGGCTCTATTAACCTTGACGGGGTGGCTTCTGGCCGCCCCTACCACGCCTATGTTGGCGCTTTGGGCGTTGGTTCGTGCTATAGTGTGCTTCAGGCATAACAGTCGCCCTAATAGGTCGAGTTTGATGATTCTTCATCAATAGCTGATTCTACTTTTCAATAAGAAGTAAACAGAGATTAAATCCGAAAACTTAGTGAACTTCTGAGCTCTGTATTGTTGCTATAGGACAATATTAGTAGTAGAGAAGGTCGAATAGGTCTTCTTTAGGAGATACTCTCCGGTCAAAGTCTCGTCACAAAACTTGAAAAGTGATCGGATTCGACAAATTTCAAAATTATATTCATTCATAGACTTAAAGTCTTGGACGAGCAAATGATGTTAGTCATGTCTTGCTTCAGGCAAGAAGATGTTCTTTTGGTGATCAAAATGATCGGCCAAAGCGACTCATAGTGCTCATGGATCCTCTTCAGCAAGGTACTCGGTTTGCAAGGCGTCATGAATATGTCTTCGGATGAAGATCATAGCAGTGGCTTTCTTAGCTTCATCAACTGGGTTGTCCGTCTCATATTCAATGACGGGATGCAAGTTCTTTGCAGTGAGATGGAGCTTCACATCTTAGACCCACTTGAGGTAGTTCCTTCCAGAGACCTCCAAAGTAGTGAAGTCAAGTTTGTTCAAATTCGACATGTTCCTATCACAATATAGATGAACAAGATGTGGTTAGTGTAATGGAGAAAAAATCAATCCATTCACATAGGAGTAGAATATTCAGGTTCTAATAGACATGTATTGGTTTAAATTTGCATGAAAAAACTTCGTGTTTTCATGGGTGATGTTTTTAAGTAAAACTTCAGGTTTTCAAACAATGCATGGTTTTAGAAACTTCAAGTTTCGAAATAATTATGGACTTCAAGTTCATATGTTCCTGCAGAGAAATGTAAATATATATATATATATGTATATATATATGCAACAAGAAAATATGCAAATAGAACTTCAGGTCTATAATTATAATTGAATTAATTATTTAGACTTCGAGTCAAATTTAAAGTGTGGGTGAAAAAATATAAAACCCAAATTGTCTAAAAAAATAAACAATTAAGTTCGGGGCCTAAAAACATGGGCCAAAGCCCATGGGTGGGCTAGGCAAATTGGAGTCGTGCGGCCCAGGCCCAAGGATGGGTTGGAATAGGCTCGGGCTTAGCATGCAGGTTGGCCCAACATCACAAATTTGATGGGCTGCAGGCGCAAGCCCAAAACAAAGGCCCATGAAGGGCTCTGATTCGGTGTGATGCGAACATGGATACACCAATGCATAAACCAGGATCTGGTGTGATGCATACATGGGGAACACCAATAATCGGCTTGGGCTAGATTTATGCGGGCCGGGAGTCCAATAGAAGCCCAATTGGCTTGTTGGATATGGGTCGTGACTGCGAAAACAAACACTAAGCCCAAAAAGATGTTGTACGATGCATGCCGAGGGTCCGAGGCTCACAAGGGCTCGGGTCGAGAAACCCAAAACAACCCAGTGGCGCTAGGTGTCGGATTCGAACCAGAAAAAGCTCAGGCGTCGCTTTAGGTGATTTTCCTCGGGTGGTCACGGCACGGCGATGCATGGGGGTTCAATTGGGAACTCTAGGTTTGGACGGAAAAACAAGTTTCAACATTGAGGGGGGGTTTGAGAAACCTTGAGGATTTGAAGAATCTGTAAAAAAATTCACCTATTTTCATCCGTTTTTTCGAGAAAAACCTATTGTCATGACGATGGTTTGGTCCTAAACATGACTACAGGTCGTGATTTGCCAAGAAAAATGGCGGTAAGGTCGTGATCGACTACGGATAGCGCTGGGTCATGGGTTCAATGCCAAAAACGACATCGTCTTAGATGGAGCATGGGTTCAGCTTTGGTGCATCATGGCCCAGAGAGGCTCACTTGAGCTCAGGTGGGCATCACAAGTCATGTGTTCGAAGAACCCTAAGAGTTTCAATTCTTTTTTCTTTTTTTTAGATTATAATTCAAGGCATATTAACAAATAATTTTAATGAATGAACATATATTTGATGCAGATCATGACAAATATCAAATTCACATAATTCAACAATTATGAATATAATGCATACTCAATTTATGTAGAATCTAAAATTCGAAAAACGTAAGTTAGGTCATGCATTATGGTGAATGTTCATGCTATAAGGGCTAGAAATATATCAAGATAAAAATCTTTGTTTTGGAAGAACTCAATTGCGTGATGATATGGATGAACTGGTTTGATGTAGAAAATCTCCTCGTCAGATTCTTAAGCGCAGCGATAAGAGTTTGCTGATAACGTGTTGTGGTATATTTTAATTGACAAAAAGAGAAGCCGGCGTCAAGGAAAGAGAGTGTAGAGAGAGATGTGTTTGTAGGGATGTAGAGAATGTATGTTATCCCCCCTACGTAGTGCCTTTATTTATAGTAATAAGGGAGATAATAAATCCTTCTACTCCAAGGAATATAAGACCATATAGGAAATGATAATTAGAATTAAATCTAATCTAGGATTCACACAATCAAACTTAAACTAGAAGTTTACAACATAATTAACTTTTTGTAGGGAATTTTTGACATAAAAATTAATTTAATGAGAGTTTAAAAAAAACACTTAAATTAATATTAAATCTGAAATGTCACTATCTACTAGTTTAGTGGGATTTCCCCTCACTTATATTTGATAGGTTTTTTTTTTTTTTTTTTTTTTTTTTTTTTTTTTTTTTTTAAACAAACGATATTATATCTGGGTGTGGGAGTGAGCTAAGTCCATATGGGCTAGCAATAATATGGTTCAAATTTATTTTTGGCGAGAATCGAACCTAAGATCTCTTACTTACAAGTGAACATGAATACAACTAGATCATAATACTAATTGCCATTGTAAGTGAGAGGTTTTACATTCGATTCTTGCCAAAGACGAATTTGAACCACAATATTGTTGTCTCATTGTAAGACTTATCTCACCCTCCCAGCACTTTAGTATGCATAATATCGCATGTTAAAAAAAAAAATTATACGTGAAATATAGAATTTAATGAAAAGTAAAAGTACTTTGATCTAAAGTTGAAAACCAACAAATATTTAAGAGTAAATTGTAGAAATGGTTCATCAACTTTAATCAAATTGGAGCAATTGTCTCTCAACTAAAAATTCATTACTATTGGTTCCTCAACTCATTAAAATGTGTAGCTATGGTTATTTTTATCAACTTCGTCAACATTTTATCAAAATGAATTATGTTGGAATGACTATTACTACAATTTGAGGAACCATTTCTCCAATTGGATTAAAGTTCAAGGATCATTTCTCCAGTTGAATTAAGTTGAGGGACCATTGGTAATGGCTTTTAGTTGAGGGACCATAGCTGTACGTTTTGATGAGTTGAGGATCAATGATAATAGATTTTTAGTTAAAAAATTATTGTTCCAATTAAGTTAAAATTGAAAGACCATTAATACAATTTACTCAATATTTAATTTTGTTAGTGTAAGCAAGCATGTCATACAGATTAGTACCCTAGGCAATCCCTCACGTGACCCCCTTCTTCTGCTTCCATCTCTCTGTCTCCGGCTGTCTGTTTTCACAGATTCACTTCTCACTGGGTGAGTCAGCAGTCACCCTTGTCCTCAGCTGCAGCAACACAACACTCGTGTCGTTTGTTGTCTCTCCATTTCCGAAGCTCTTCACTTCAGCGCTTTCACATTCCCCTTCTTCTATGTAGCCCCACTTCCAACACAAACTACTACCACTACCACTGCCACTACCACTACCACTCAAATGGGTTGCTTACACTCCAAAACCGCCCACCTCCTCCGCTCCCCCGACCACCCCTCTTCTCTACCCGACACCCACAAACCTGACCCGGGTAGGTCATTACCTCTCTCGGCTCCTCTTTTGTTGCTTTTTATGGCATTGATTTTTATGGGTTTTCTTTTTATTTATTTCGTTTTGGTTTTGAAGCTAATGGGGATCCAGCTGCGGCGGCGGATCCCCTGGTGCCGGCATTCAAAGAGTACGGCGTCGACGAGCTCCGGAAGGCCACGAACGGGTTCAGCTCCGAATGCATTGTTTCCGAAAGCGGCGAAAAAGCTCCCAATGTTGTTTACAGAGGGAAGCTTGATGGCAATCGCCTTGTCGCTGTTAAACGCTTCTCCAAGCAATCTTGGCCCGACGCCCAGCAGTTCGTGGTGAGTACAAGATCATTATTTTCTGTTTGGTTCCCGAGAAAATGAAGGACAAAGAAAATAGCTTTCATAACAGAGTATTTTGGGACTTGGGTTTTCATTTGGGGCTGATCTAGCTGGTAATGCTGAGGAATTGGAAAAGACAAAGTAAAGTAAAATTTTGGGACTTGGATTTTTCTATAATTTGTACTAGACATTTGATTTAAATTTGTTGTCTTTACTTCACTTCTCATTTTTGTTGAAAATTAAAAACCGAAAACTTGGTTAGTCACTACTTTCTACTTTCAGTTATAAAACTGAAACCGAAAACGAAATTTCAAATTACCCTAATTTTCCGTCATTTTCTAAAAATAATACACACAGGAGGGTTTTTGGCATTGTTGGATAGTTTGATACTGAGTTTGATGTTAATGAATATGATTGGGCAGGCTGAGGCTTCTGGAGTAGGGAAGTTGAGGCACAAGAGATTGGTGAATCTGATTGGTTGCTCTGCCGAGGGTGACGAACGGCTCTTGGTGGCCGAGTATATGCCTAATGATACTCTTTCCAAGCATCTCTTCCATTGTAATTCCGCTCAATCACTTCCCTTTTTCTTTCTTTTCTCTAGTGCAAATCATTGAGTTTGTAACTAACCATCCTTTTGCTTTTAGCTTTTGTGAACACTTTTTTATGCACTATGATCAACTCTTTTTCGTCTTTGCATTTTTACTTATGTCCAACACTTTTTGTGCACCTACAGTAAAAAACCTCTCCTTCCGTACTTTTCTGAAGTATTGCGCACAAGGTTTTAAAAGACTACCATCGATTATTTTACTTGACTAATGTTTGCCTAGTCCAACTAAAGCCACTGATGATTCCTGTGTATCTATGACTTATGTGTTACTTTATGGTGATCAGTATACTGCTCCAAAACGATATCCCTAATCGGGCCATTGTGTTTTCTTTTACTATTAACTTCCTATGACTTCTTATAGGGGACAAGAAGCCATTGCCATGGGAAATGCGTGTTAGAGTTGCATACCATATTGCAGAGGCACTTGATCATTGTAATACAGAAAACCGGAAGATCTATCATGATTTGAATGCATATAGAGTTCTTTTTGACGAGGTATGCATATGATTTGTGACAAAGAATACAGTTATCTTGTTAGGAGGATTATGAATGCCTCCTGTGGTTTCAGGTTATTCCATTTGGATGCACTAGACTTTTATGTTTGCATTCCTGACAGCGTATGCATTTGTTGCAAAATATGTGCTGCTTCTCTGCAGATCATCAAATAGTGTAATTTATTCCATGGACTTTTATGTTGGTTGCTCGTAAATTTATCACACTTCTTCAGAAACTTGATTGCACTGTTTGCTAACTTTGACAAATATTGTTTTCTCCATTAACTGTTGAGGTGTCCACATTCCCAGAAGACAAATTAAATGACTACAGTACCTTTACACTTTTATGTTCTTGTTCTTTTCATTTACGCCATGTTGGAAATCATATGAGATTGTGCTGACATGTCCCATATAAGTTGGCGTGTTCCTGTGTATAATCTTTCTACATTGCATAAAGAAGTTTGAAAAATGGCAACAAATTTAACATGGCCTTGCCAAGCCAGAAAGAGAAAACATAACCAGGCATTTTACAACTACTCAAACTGTGCTGCATTAGTTGCTTTGTCCATTTTGTGTTAGCTCAATTTGCCCATTTCTATCTGAGGTGTTTCAATGTTTTGCTAACATTGACCTTATTTTAACTTTCTTGTCGTTTCACAGTGACTATGAAATAAGTTCTCTATTCTATTCTTGTTTGTTGATATCTTAAATATCTTACTATTGCACGGATGACCGTTGGTTTTCTTGTATATAAATACAATTGATTATCACTTTTAGTGAACATGTTTTAAAGTGGAACATATTATATAAATTACAAGGTTCTGTAAGATTTTTGTGATTACAGTACAACTGAGTAATGAACTTGTGTCAGGATGGTGACCCTCGATTGTCTACCTTTGGCCTTATGAAAAATAGTCGGGATGGAAAAAGCTACAGTACCAATTTGGCTTATACTCCACCTGAGTTTCTACGGACAGGTAAATTACGTCACAGCATTTGTCCTTATGGGAGACAGAAAGTTGTGTCTCGAATATCTCCTGCATTTTTTGGTTTAGCAAAATAATGTAATATGAAGTAAGAACAGTAATATGTCTCATTTTAGTTACTAAACCCCATTTCTATACCAGCACTATATTATTACCCAGTTTAGTAACTAAATTAATCTTTTTGTGCAGAATAGTATTACGAAATCAAATTTCTGTTAGATTGATAACTGATATTAAGGGCAGGTATTGAGAATTGGGACCTTGGCCAAACTTAGGTACCAAAAGTACAAGCCTTTCATATTATAAAATGTAAAAAAATAAAAAAGTATAATGATTATATTGTCTCGTACTCAGGTTGCTTAGATATCATATATTATAAAGTTTAGTACATATAACTTGTAAGCCTCCATGTCAGAGTGAATGGTGTTGGACAGCGAAGCATAGTGGTTTTTGTACATCATTGTCTAGATCAGGCTGATTGGATATTATGTGATGAAGTATTACGTACAAACTGTAATATTTTCCGCTCATTATGGTGACTGATGTTGGACTGAGAAGCATAATCATTTTTATACATCAACACACCAACATCGAGTTCGTTATGTTCTTTTCTAAGTCTGGATTTGTGGATTACTACATAATTTTTTCATGCTTATGAATCCTGAAGATTGTGTAACTAGTTACTACCTTCGCAATTACCTATGGTGGTGTGGTGTGATAGTTTTCCCCGACTTGGTTGATAACTTTATATGGCTGGAGATATGAAAACCGATTTTCAGTATATTTGATTAGAGTCGAACTTTGCAGGCAGGGTCATCCCAGAGAGTGTAATCTACAGTTATGGAACTGTCCTGTTGGACCTTTTGAGTGGAAAGCATATTCCTCCAAGCCATGTATGTTGACTTACATTCCTTGAACCTTTACATTATTCTTCTTTCAGGGATTGTTTTTTCTTCTCTTCCTTGTGAATTCATTGACATTTCCAGTGCCTAGGCTGTAGATTCTCTACTGTGTTGGTGCATGATCTCAGGGTTTCAAATATATGTCTCAAACTATGTTTTAGGATCCTAGTGCTTTTATTTTCATTAGCATTCTGCGAAGCTCCGATCGTTTTGAATGTTTTTATCTTTAATGTATATATTATGTATTTATGTCCTGCACTTGATTTATTATTTTTACATGGTCGGTATTATTGATATCTCAAATTTAACAAGTAAGAATTAAAATACACGAACAGTATAGGTTCATTATGTTTACTCAAAACACTACTTTTATGTTGAATATTTTGGCGTCCCTTATGAATCTTCCGGAGCTCAGATTGCATTAGATCCAAACTCTTTTAGGAATACAAAGTTGGAAAATAATTCTCTTTAGTTTTCTACTTTGAAAGATATGAGGATTGTTTAAGGAATTATTGTATCTCCAGGCACTGGATTTGATAAGGGGAAAGAATGTATTGCTGTTGATGGATTCATCATTGGAAGGGCAGTATGCGAATGATGATGCCACGAAGTTGGTTGAACTTGCTTCCAAATGTCTTCAGTCTGAGGCCAGGGATAGAGGAGATATTAAGTTTCTTCTCACAGCCATTGCCCCGTTTCAAAAACAGAAAGAGGTTTGTGTTATCCTGAAGTCATTAGTTTACTATTTCTTTGTTTTGTGTGATACATAGTCCATCTACTTTGTTTTATAACATATTCTTTTTCCCATCCTTTTATGCTCTGATTGCTCATGTTGGTTGGTTAAGGTGGCATCTCATGTTTTAATGGGCCTCCCAAAAAACACTGTTGTGGTGCCAACCATGCTTTCTCCCCTTGGAAAGGCGTGTGCCAGGATGGATCTTACTGCTGTGCATGATATTTTGCTAAAAACAGGCTATAAAGATGAGGAAGGTGCCGAAAATGAGGTACGCTGAATTTCATATTCTACTTGCACTTGCAGCCTAACAGTTTGAAACCAAGTTCTTAAATACTCTATGTATGTTGAATTTTGAGGTAAACAAACCTTAAATGCTAGCTTAATTTGAAATGTAGTAATTGGCATATTGTAGTGTCACAATATTTGGCAAATTGTGGTTGGTATTGCTTCGTTTTCATGATTGTGTTATTTGTTCATGGGTTCATGGATTCACGTCACTTACGTTCTGATAATGTGATCTATATATTTCCAGCTCTCATTCCAAGAATGGACACAACAAGTCCAAGATATGTTGAACACAAAGAAATTTGGTGATATTGCATTTAGGGATAAGGATTTCAAGAATGCAATCGAGTATTATTCCAAGGTAGATGCACTTTTCCTTCTCCTTTGGTCGAATCTCATCTTAAGAATAGGGTTATATTGTGTGATGAATTAGTTTGATGTGTATTTATTTGGAATGTAGTTTAGTTTCTAAAAAAAAAAAAAAAAAAGAATATTCCAAAGTTTGTAAAAAGCAAGCGTTTTCTTTGCATGAACAGTTGGTTGCTATGATATCTGGCCCTCCAGCAACTGTCTTTGCGAGAAGAGCCTTCTCGTACTTAATGAATGGCCAAGCAGAGCTTGCTTTAAGAGATGCGATGCAGGCACAGGTATGCATACCAGAGTGGCCGACTGCATTCTACTTGCAGGCGCTTGCGCTCTCAAGGCTCGGAATGGAGACTGATGCTCAGGACATGCTAAATGATGGAGCGGCCTTTGACACAAAGAAACACAACGCCTGGCGTAACTAAACTTGTACACTTGGAATGGATAGAATAGGTAGAGAAAGTCGTAGGCGAAAGTGAAATGTGGGCTTTTTAAGATCCAAAACTTATGCTACTAAAACAAATTGCATGACAATCCTTGAGAATTCTAGTCTTTTCATGTAATTATTCTTACCATTTGATTTTGTTATCGGAGAGTGTTTGAGACCCTGCGTAAAGCGGGAGCCTTGTGCACTGGGTACGACCTTTTTTTAGAGTGTTTGACTGGTACCGCTTTCAAGTAACCAAGAGAGAAGTTCTAAGAACACCCAAGTACAATCCCACTAGGGTTGGCAAAGCCTAGGCCTAACATTAGGTTGGTCGAATTTCTGCATCATCCATAAAATGTGTAACTCGAACATTACAATTTGTAATCTAATACTTGAAAATTCAGCACTTGGATTAATACGGGGAACTAGTTAATAACATCCTCTTTCCTTCTCTCCCTTATTCCACACTTATGTTGTACCAAATAAGTTTATATGTACGTTTGAGTTGACAAAATTCGGGTAACATGGTGACGAAAATTAAGGTCTAGAGGGTTAAGTGGGAAAGAATAAACATAGTTAGGCTAGTTGACAAAAACAATCTATACGCCTTTTGCACATGTGTTCGAATCTTACAGTATTGTAAAAAAGTTATAGCTTTGTCAAGAAAATGGGAACTATTATTAGCACTCCAAAAATCTTATTATGCACTTCTCACAAATGTATTTTTCTTTCTAATTATATAATGTTTAGAATGCCAAATGAGATTTTTTGAGTGTTAATAACTATTCCCAAGAGAATTAGACAATAAAAACCAACAATTCACCAAGAAAACAATAAAACCCAATAAAAGAAAAGAGAAATCTATTTTTACCAATTAAAGGTGGCAAAACTAATTTTTACCGGAATAAAACTGGCAAAACCGTCTCTTTGCCAATTTTAAAAAAAAATTAAAAACTATATAAATTTGCAGAGATAGAGATTGAAAGAAGAAGAAAAAGGCGGACAAACGCACAGCACCCAGGTACGACTACCGATTATCCAATTATTTTATGTTTTAAATTTTTTAATTTCTTCTTCTTTTAATTCATTATTATTGTTGATCATTCATGTTAGACCTTAGCTTTTGTTTGGTTCCCAAGAAAATAAAGATATATCTTTTCCATGCTCGAGATGGAGAACTTTTTTTTCTTATGTAATGTGTAAGTATTTATTTATGGAGTTTGCAGATCTATGAATTTTTAATAAAACTAGAAGAATTAGAGTAAATAATCCGTATTAGGAAAAAGAGATATCAAATTGACGTCCAGATTTGTTTATAATCGGTGACAATTTAATCCTCATTACTGTGATATTTTTTTGGAACTGAACTTTAATATCTCATAGTTTGATATTAATTGAGTTTTATCACACCCCAACTTTTGATGAAATTCTTAACCGTAATTGGAAAAGAGAAATAACTTTTATGCTGTGCCTAGCAAATGAAAATGATTTCTTCGTTTTCGGGGGTGTGATTAAATATTGCTAGACAAAGTCAGATTCCAAGCTATATTTGGGTGAGGAATTTCAAAATCTGAAGGAATTGAGGTCAACTTAGTAACGAATTGATCATAAACGATTATATAGGAGGATTAGACATGAGCCATTTCAAATTTCTACTATGTGCCTTGGTACAACTATATGATGCATTTCTAATCCCTCATATCTAACATTTTATCATAGTTGGATTTGTATCGAGGTTCTAAAAAACACTAAACGGTAATCAGTTGGTAGGCAAGGGCCTAGTACCTAGGAGGAGCCAGGTGGGTTTTTAATTTTAATTATGTCTAACTAGAGCCACTAGCCTCCACATAGCGTCAAGGCCCGCCTAGGCCACTTTTTACACAATGATTTGGAAAGTTTTAAGGACCCGGCTTCTTTGCCCTCCCACTTTCCATACACTTTCATCCCCTCCTATTATGTGTGGTCACGGTTAAGCCACGTTAACATTTTATATTGATTTTTTTTATAGAAATAATAAGACAAAAAACAATAGTAATATAAAATATTGATGTAGCTTAACCGTGACCGCACAAATAAGAGAGGATGAGAGTGTATGGGAAGTGGGAGGGCAGAGAAGCCAGATCCAAGTTTTAAAGTCCAAAGTCATGATAATTGTAACATTTTTCTTTACTGGGCATTTGAACCGGTGATGTCTGTAATGTCATATGCAAATGGACTTTCAAACTTGGTTTATGGTTTAGTATAGCAGCTAGATAACTTCGGAATAGTTTTTGGCTGGACACAGTGGAGCAGGTTATAGAAAAAGAAAAGCAAAAACTATGGCGTTCGCCGAAAATTGTCACAACTTGATAACATTTTGAAGAAATGTTGGGTTTTTGAAATGCAGGAAGATTCGAAACCTTATGGATAACGAAGTACTTTGCAAGGATGTTTCTGGCGAGCAGGCCAGGGAGTCGCTCATCGCAATCTCTGACCCTGTAGCGGATCAGGTTCTCGACCTGAGTTTTTTGCCTGCACTGTTGGATAGGGTTGCTGCGGCGAATAAGGATGGACATGAGAAGTACGTCTCTGAACTCATGTCTATTTCTAATTTGCAATCTCCCGATATCAAAACTTGATTGTTTGCGATGTGAAAACCGTGAGGATTAGCAGCGAAGCTATCTATAGCGGTCATGGAATTACTCTTTCATAAGAGATTGTAAATATATTTATTGTTCTTACGAACTACTACGCGTGTGTGAATAACTAGTACAGACTGATAGGGTCCTGGTGTCATTAGTGTTCTAAACCTTCATATTAGAAGGATGATGAACGCAAATGAACCTGATGATTCTTGCTATTTTCATACAGTAATTATTAATAAATAATAAACATAATGAAGTATTATTGGCACTCCAAAAATCTCACTCTACACTTCTCACAAGTGTATTTTTCTTTCCCAATATAGAAAGTTTGGAATGTAGAATGAGATTTTTGAAGTGCTAATAACAATTCCCTAAACATATCATTGTCATATGTAATAGTTATTCTATTTATTTATTTATTTTTGTTCTTTTTGTTTTTAAATCTAAACCGATAGTCGCTGTCGGGTTTTTAGAATGATTTATGCTCTCTTAGACCTAATGGATAAGAACTTGACATCTCGCCTCCGTCGAACTGCAAGTTCCTTTCACGTACCTACTGATGTCGCAGTTACCATACGAAGATTTCATTTTTTTGAAAACTAATGAAAAAGGTTTGAAAACTTTGAGTTTTAATGATAAGAACAAAATAAAAGGTAAAGTGAATAGTATCAGAATTGACTTTTTAGTGTAAATGTGATTTTTCGTTAAAGTAAACAGTACAACAGGCTTTTCATTAAAACTCCCTTGATTTTCAAATCCATTGACCTCAATAATTAAGGGTTGTTACCAAAAGGACAAATGTAGCATCACTCAATTAAGAAGTGGGGTTTAGTGAGTAAAGGGGAACGAATATAATCTCCTTGGTTGCTTTTCTAACCTCAATCACATGGTACATATTCTGATATAGGATGATTTCTTTTCGATTTTTAATACAAGCAATATTTGGAACGAATATTTTAAGGTGTTCTAGAGTATGTGATACAACAGAAATATTTTGATTTTTATATTTTTTTTATAAAAAAAATATGTTTTGATTTTTATATTAAAAAAAAATTTAAACCTTAAAGCACTTATACCATAGAAAATTTCTTTCTAGAAAGTGGGGAATTAAACTCTAATTCAAATGTTGGGGTGAAGGTCATGAACAAATTGAGTTTCAAGCCTCTTGCATACGCATGATTCTTTTTGTTTTACTCATCAAATTATATTTTCATTAATGACAACAATTATTGTGGAGCAAAAACTAACTCAATAAATTCTAGAGCTAACATGTGAACTCTTATAAAAATAAAAAATAAAAAGATGAGAATGCACTTATTAAATTGGCAAGTCTCACATTTAATCCACGTGCAGTTTAACATCCTTGAAGTTTGAAGTCTTAAAGATGGGATTAATTACAAAACCTTATCTTTATGCTTTCCTAATTGAAGGTTAACGTCATCAAGTAAGGAACCACAATCATATCCAATTAAGGATATTACAAGATAATCTCAAGATATTATTTATTAAATAATATCATCAAGATAATTCGTTTCTCATTCATTTAATGGATGATTCACCTTGACCAATCTGATGCCGGCACATGTTAGGGTAAACCCTACACATGTGATCGACCTATGCTCTATAAATTTCTTGTTCTCCACCAAATATTCTAGTAAGCTTTTGTTACACAATCAAGCCCTAAACTCTTTCCTTTTTTTAGAGAAATTGACTTAGGAAAGCTAACCCAGACAGCAGGTGGAGCTGAATCTAGCAGGTGGAGCCAAATCTAGCAGAAGCAGCCCAGTCAGGAGGAGAAGCCCAGGCAACAGTAGTGTTAGCCTAGCCAGCAGGACGGAGGTCCTGACTGGATTCAACGGCTCACCTCAACTATCGCCAGCACAATCGTACTCAATATGAGTACCCATTCGATTGTCTCACCGCAGACCTTTATGATCGCCAGTGATCCATCTCCCCATAACAGTATTCTAGGGCGACCGTGGCTCGTGAATATTAGAGCAATGACATCAGTCGAGTACCAGAAGATCTGACTCCCATTGCGAGATGAGGAATTGGAGAAACCAAGTTTGATGAGGTCACTTTCCTAACGATGCACAATGCAAATTCTGAAGGAGTTGAAAAAGAATTCCTAATCTCAAAACATACTTTGGAGAAACAAAGCAACAACGATTCCCGATCTCAACCTTTTAATGAGGAAATGGACCTTGTATATGAGGACAAGCCTTCGTCGCAGACTTTTGAAGATCTTGAGAAGAAGTTCCTTGATGACATTAGAAATCTAGCTAAGGAGCAAAGTGATGCTGAGGATGTGGAAAATGCTAGGCATAGAGAGGTTAGTTTATATTTAATATCTGGAAGTGAATTTTCCTTTATATTTATGCCTTGGATTCCCGATTTGCTTTATTTGGGTTTTTGTGGTATATTTCCCAACCCCTTTTTTTTCTCTGCAAACAAACATATTTTTAATTTATTAGGAAAAGTAAAAGTGCATGTTCTATTAGTTAGCCTCATCTTAGTATGCTTACCTTATGAACGCAATATAATGTTTAGAATGCCAAATGAGATTTTTCTTTACTGTGCATCTGAACGGGTGATGTCTGTAATGTCATATGTAAATGGACTTTCAAACTTGGTTTATGGTTTAGTACAGTAGCTGGATAACTTCGGAATAGTTTTTGGCTGGACACAGTGGAGCAGGTTATAGAAAAAGAATAGCAAAAACTATGGTGTTCGCCGAAACTTGTCACAACTTGACAACATTTTGAAGAAATTTTGGGTTTTTGAAATGCAGGAAGATTCAAAACCTTATGGATAACGAAGTACTCTGCAAGGATGTTTCTGGCGAGCAGGCCAGGGAGTCGCTCATCGTAATCTCTGACCCTGTAGCGGATCAGGTTCTCGACCTGAGTTTTCTGCCTGCACTGTTGGATAGGGTTGCTGCGGCGAATAGGGATGGACATGAGAAGTACGTCTCTGAACTCATGTCTATTTCTAATTTGCAATCTCCTGATATCAAAACTAGATTGTTTGCGATGTAAAAACCGTGAGGATTAGCAGCGAAGCTATCCATAGTGGTCATGGAATTACTTTTTCTTAAGAGATTGTAAATATATTTGTCGTTCTTACGAACTACTACGCGTGTGTGAATAACTAATACAGACTGATAGGGTCCTGATGTCATTAGTGTTCTAAACCTTCATATTAGAAGGATGATGAACGCAAATGAACCTGATGATTCTTACTATTTTCATATAGTAATTGTTGATGCACAAAACCGGAAGGGTCTTGGAACAACGTAAATCCGATCGTGAATTTGCAAGAAAGTAAATAACACAAGATGTATCGTGGTTCACCCCAAGGTTTGGGCTACGTCCATACTGATATTGTATTTCTGAGAGAGAGAGATCTTTGAATATGAGAGTAAGAGCTTTAAGAGGATGAGTGAGCTTTGTGAGGGTGAGCGGGCATGAGGTTTGTGAGGGTGAGGAGGCCTTTTTATAGAATAAGGGCTCCTCCCCTTTTTACATATTTGCCCCTCCATTTATTACATAATTACATTTGAGTCCCCCGAGTATTTATACGAGGTATAAATACGAAGGCCCTAAGTATGGTACAAACAGTAGTCCTCCAAATTCAGTCCATGTGTGGGCCGAAGTAACTAGATGTCATCTAGAACTAATACACGATATAAGGCGGTGCCCAATCTGAAATGATGCTCAACTAGAAGTAGCACATGTTGCGAGGCTGCTCTGCTTGTGGCTTATGTTGCCTTGGTTGGCTCGGCTTGTGGCATTTAAAGGTGAGAGAGTCCCTTTTATAGAATAAGGGCTCGCTCCTCAATACATAAGTATGGGCTAGAGTTGATGCTCGCGGCGATGCGGTTACTCAGTAGGCGGCGATGCTCTCTAATGATGGTGAGGGAGTCCCTTTTATATAATAAGGGCTCGCTCCTCAATATATGAATAATGGGCTAGAGTTGATGGTCTCTAATGATGGTGAGGGAGTCCCTTTTATAAAATAAGGGTTCGCTCCTCAATACATAAATAATGGGCTAAAGTCCCCCAAGTATTTTTTATGAGTCCCAATATATGGTACATAGTGTAGTCCCTCAAGTCTTCGATCAATAGAGTCTATTAGCTGGAGACTTCAAATTGAATCCATGTATGGGCCGAAGTGGCGATTGTTCGGAAGCGGTATTTGTATACCCTGCACTGAAGCTTTGTAGGTGAAGCTTTCTAAGTGAAGCTTTGAAGCTGGAGCTTTTGTAAATGAAGCTTTTGAAGCTGGAGCTCTGTAAATGAAGCTTTTGAAGCTGGAGCTCTGTAAATGAAGCTTTTGAAGCTGGAGCTTTTGTAAATGAAGCTTTCAAAGCTAGAGCTCTATAAATGAAGCTTTTGAAGCTAGAGCTTTGTAAATGAAGCTTTTGAAGCTGATTGACATGAGTGATGCTCATGAATGTTTATGTATGATTGATATGAGTAATTCTCATGAATGTTTATGTATAATTGACATGAGTAATGCTCATGTATAATTTGAAGTACTGGGCGTACTTTTGATCACCTAGTGGGTGATGATAGCAGCAGGCTGCCGAATAATTTTGGAGAACTGGACGTACTTTTGATCACCTGGTTGGTGATAATAGCAGCAGGCTGCCGAATAATTTTAAAGTACTGGGCGTACTTTTGATCACCTGGTTGGTGGTAATAGCAGCATGTTGCCGAATAATTTTTTGTAGCACTGGACGTACTTTTGATCAACTGGTTGGTGATAATAGAGGGCTTGGCTCTTTTGGGCATATGGGCCTTCGCCCTCCACATAACATTCCAGCCCATTTATTTTGGGCTTTGCCTTTTTTTTTTATTATTATTTTTTTATTACCCTCTGATGGAGTTTATACAGATGTCTCCGAAAGATAAGAAAAATACATCATTCAAAAATAAGAAAAGTAAATCACATCATTCTGGTGGGGTGTTTATTCCTTGCTTTTGCTTTCTGCCTTTTCTTTTCCACCACACCTCTGTCCCTGTCTCTGTATCTATCTCTGCACTGCTGTCATGCATGTGCTCAGTAAAAACCCAATCTTTCAGATTTTATTCTCTTCTCTCCTTTTGCTTTCTGTTTTGCAGATGGCAGACAAAAGTAAAGTAAAGTTCTTTTCTTTACTTTGCAGATTGCAGATGGCGGGGGCATGAACTTGTCTTTCTTCTCTTTTCCTCTTTACACACAGTCCCGAATGATGCAGCGTGGAATGTGGTCAGGTTCTGAGAG